GAAGGGAGAGGTAATTCATACACTAAACCCATACATATTATGAATATGTTATTAAAAAATAGCAAGGACACTGAAATGTTGTTTCTCCTGCACTGGTGTGTACCTCATATCAGTAAAGACTACTTGGAGAGATTGCTACTTCTTTCTACTGCTAGCCTTTTGCAATTCAAAATACCATTGAAAATGCAGTCTTTACTTTTCATGATGCAGAGCCACTATCAGTTTAGTGCTAGCCTAATTCAGCAGTTTTTAGAACCATAGCGCTAGTCTCCAAGAAATCAAAACCAAGCACATTAAAAGCAGGTTTGTTAGCAAAAAGGAGAAGGACCTCAACAGCAGTTTGCAGGTCTGTCTCATAAAAATGCAGTCTGTACTGAGAACCAGCTCCTCTTCTTTCTTTATTTTATACCACTTTATGTAATGTATTGCTATATCCACTGACTCTACTGATTTGCCTAACTAATCTATTCTTCGGAAGATTTTTAACTCCTCATAAAAGATGGAGCTAACACACAGGCTATTGAAGTCAGCTTTAAAAAAATAAACTCTATGCTGTGTCTTTGAGTCCATCATTAATGAATGGACACAGTAATTTACTCCTTGTATTGATTGATGGAATCCTTTGTTCTTGTTGCTTTTGGTATACAGAGGAAATTCTGCCATTATTGGTTCCAAAATGAAGTGAAGAACTTGGATTTAAATGTAGAACAGAACAACACACTTTTACAAGTAAAACTTGTTTGATCAGCTTTGAGAAACTCCACTATCCTGTATCTAGAGTCATGATTCTGAGTGGAATTATCCATAAAGATGCTAAGAAAGACTGATTAGATACCGTGGTAAAATTTACCTGTGTTAGCCAACAGCTGAGCTTTATTAGTAGAAAACCACCTTTTTTGACCTTGCATTCATTTGCAGCATTGATGGCTCTTGTAATTTTTCTGTGCTTTTGGAGAAAAGTTGCAGATCTGAGTAGTGAAGTGAATCATCTGACACGTGGACACAAATACATTTTGCATTTTGCTAATCGCAGGCTAACAGTTTTACTGGTTTGGGGTTGTTTTTTTTTTTTTGTGTTCCCCCCTCCTCCAGATTGAGCAAGAGCGGATTGACAAAATCTGGCCAAAGCTTCGAGTGCTTGCTCGCTCATCTCCCACGGACAAACACACTTTGGTAAAAGGTGCGTGCAGATTACCTTCGCGCGTGTGTGTAATTAATGCCAAAGTTATTGGATTATGTTCGGCACATCATCTGCCTTGTAAAAATTTTACTGTTACAAATCTATCTGAGTTGTTACCTTTAATTGCACATCTATACATAATGCAAAGAAGTTTTCTCAGTAACCAAGTCTGTTGTGTTTGTGTTCTACCTGAGCCTTCAAATGGAAAATAACAGGAAACTGGTTGGCAGGAATAACAGAAGTACCAGTAAGATGTCTGGCAAGTAGATGTAGACAATCTCATATTTGCCTTATGACTTCTCATTGGACTAGAAGGAGGCTCTAGCTGGGAAGGGAAAATGAGTGTTTGCTGGTCAGAAAGAAAATATTGTTGAGAAATAGGTTGCTCTTCATATAAACAAGAGCGGGCACAGATTTTGTAAATCGTTCCCTATACCTCTTTATGAAGAAAACAAGAACAAGCTCATTTAGAGTAAATCAAGTCACTCAAGTGCATCTGTTCTCCCACAATTAATTTTAAAGAGTATTCCAAGATAAAAAACTTTTCATGTTACAATAGCAGTTATTGGAGATCGTGTAACTAGAAGCTGCCCTCTTTAGCATTACGTGAATGGAGATATGTATTTTAAGCCAATTCAGTTTTCCTATAGGCTAGGAAATTCATACTAATTGTATGAATTACATTGGCTCCCTTTAGATTTCTGACTGTATTTTTAGTCTGTTTTTGTCCTATAAAAACTGCACCATACAAATTATATTCTCTTACCATACTGTCTGCAGATGGAATGCTCTATAAAAGAGGGATTTGTTTGCAGTTTTCTTTATAAAGCCTTTTTCATATCTGTAACTCACACTTCTTGATAACTTGAAATCTTATTCTGTTGACTTTGAAGCTCACACTTAAAAGACAGCTGATGAAATCAGAAAATTTCTGATCAGGAATAACATAATTTCTGGCCATGGTAAGATGGGGGGCCGGTGCAGGTGGAAGCCCTGTTGGCGGATGGCTGTGTTTGCTGGCTTCCTGATGAAGAACGAACTGGATTATTTTGCTAAGGCCCTAGAAAGTCTGGAGAGACTCTTAGCAATTCTTGGAGGAGCTAACGTTCAGGATAAGATCCAGCTGATCAGTTACATGTTTTCAGCTGGTTGACTACTTAAATAATAATTCACTTTTAGGCACGAAATTGTTTCTGGATCTGTCCTTCTGGTATGGCAAGGTTTTATTGATATGACTCCATATTTGACTGATTACAAAGGCTTTTGAGCAGTATGTAATTTTTTAAAATGCCTAAATGACTTTAGAGCAAAAGTTCCATTGTGAATTTGAAGATTGGATCAGTTGGGTCCTTTGGGATTGGGACCAAGGTATGTGAAGAGCTCTGGAAACATGGATCATTCAGGAGAACGAAGATATCTTGTAAGCCCTGGCATGGTGCACGAGATGGGGCAGCTGGAGACATAGTGCTGTTTCCTTCTCCAGCCTCTGTTTAGACCAGTGGTCTCTGAAGTGGGGTGCGCACACGTCAGGGGCAATCCACTGGGATGCAGGAAGAAAAAATTTTTTACCATTCTTAAATAGAAGAATATTTTTAAAATACTGTTTATTTCATCTCTGTCTCATCCTTTTCTAATGTATGTTTCATAACGTACATAATAAAGTATAATACATATAATTTATACATACATATAATTATTAGTACATATAGTTATACATTAGTACATATAATTTATAAATAATACACATATTTTGGGGGTGTGTGCTCAAAAAGATTTTACCGATAGGTTTTCATGATTGAAAAGGTTTGGAAGACTGTTGGTTTGGACAATGTAACTATTAGCTCCATAGGTCAGTATTAAAACAGCACAAAGTTAGCTGAAGTCTCCTCACTTCCCTAGTGCATATAAAATACTGTCTTCTAGCTCTTAGAGGACATGACTTGTACAGCCTAATAGTTTATTTGTTTCAGAAACACACAACAATTTGTGTTTCATTAAGTGGACTAAATAAGTCCCTCGGGAGTACTCATTTGAATCAATCAGGATTTTCCCTTAAGAGAAAAATGAAACCTTTGCCAGAGAAAACAAAGTCAATAAAGTGCTGAAGAAAAATAAGCAACAAATTATTGATGTTTTATAGCATATGCACTTTGACAATCCAAAAGATATTTACTACTACTGAGTGCCTTATGCAGCTAACACAATTAATGTTTTAAAGATGTGACAAGGTCAAATGATAGAGCAATTAAGTATCTAACGAAGTTCAAGAACAAGTCTGTGGAAAATCATGATGGATTTTTTTGGCTGGTAATACTCCAAGGGCCATTAAAAGTTACAAGAAACTATTTAAATGTTCACTAGTTTTGGGCCTCGTTAAAATGTTATGTTTTTCTCAGACACTTGAGGGATCAAGAGGATTTTCTCTTCTTTGATGTATTCTATCTGCTCTAGGGTAAAAACACACATCACAAAATAAACTTCTTTTATATTTAATTTTTAATGACATACAGCTGCTGGAGAGAATATTTTTTCTCCTTAACATAGCACAATCCCACCCAGCAAAAGGATCATTTTTATTTTGCATTTTTGTTTTTACTACTGCTAAGGGACTAGAGAAAGGCATGGTTCAGCATTTCAGGCTGGGCAGACAGTTTCTCTCAAATATTTATGGCTTTGAAGTAGAGGTAGATTGGAAAAAAAAAAAGTCAAAATGGTTTATCATAATGAACTGTTTCAATGAAACGAAAATGTTAGATATCTCAATCCAACTGAAATACAATTTCTTATGGATTTTATGACATCCATGGGTATTATTTCATATTTTTTACCCTATTTCAAATTATCACAAGTAAAAATGCATATCATATATACTCATGTGTCCTTATAATACTATTGCTGAAATACTTCAATATTGTCATATTGTTTTTTAAAATACTATGGGAAGCAACTGTTTAGTACTGATGGGAAATATCATCTTCTTATCAGAAGGTATAGAGAAGATCAAATAAACATTCAGTTTACCAGTTAAAGAAAAGCTGTGCTTTCCAATATGTTTAAATTAGGCTGGAATTATTTTTCTGTGATATTGAAAACAACTATTCTGTTCTCATGTAAGGCTGATTTATTAACAAGCAGAAAGGGAACTTTAAAGAAGAAAAAGATTTTTAATAATTACCCTTAATTACTGAAATATTTCAAATATTATTGCATGGGATGGTGTTATATTCATGACCTCATTAATGTGGACATGCCATGAGACTAGGTAGAATAATAAAAATATAGAAAAGTGTATTAATTGAAATTCTGGAATTAAATATCAGCATGTCGCAAATTGCAAGTGGTTTTGATATCCATTTGAGAGGAAATTTTAATATTTCTTTTTATTCCAATTCATATGAAGAAATATTCAGAAAGTTGACCCGTTCCACAGTGTAAAAGGTCAGCTTCAACCAACTCTTCCCTGAAGCGAAGAACATAAAAATAGTTTAAAGGAAGCAGGAGGTATACTGCATTTGAATCTAGAGTTTTGTACTCTGTAAATACCATTTAGGTCTCTGTAGTCTGTGTTAAGTGTAACTTATGGGAGGCACTGATGCCTTCAAGGTTCCCCTTTAGTGTTTCAGTCTTACAATATAAAGCACATTGGTGGTGCATGCTTACTACAGAAATCCGTGCGTTTTAGCCATGTTCTTCTCTGCCATTCTCATACCAACTTTGTGGAGCACTATTCACTTAACAATTACCAATGCTGTCTGTAATGTTATATATAACACTTTTACATTAACCTTCAAAGTTCTATTCCTGCACATACTTAAGCATGTAATGAAAGTGAATTTAAATTTTCTCTTTCAGACAGACTTTCTAAATTCTTGTTAAATTAACAGGGAGCTTTGAAAAGTTCAGGAGTATTAAAAACTATTCTGAACAGAACATGCCTGTGAAAATAGGCATCTGTCTATGTTTAGCTTGTCAAAGAAATATAAATATGTGTAAGCATATGGGATGATCAACTTTCCTGCGTCAGTAACACCTGAGTTGGTGTGCGTCTTTGAAATGCTCTACTCTAGCTAAGTTTTTCCTGTCTGCCTTTTTTGAGTTAATCAGTTGAGACAGAAAGAAATATCCAAAAAAGGAATTTTTTCTCCCAGAACCAGCGGTTTCTTGCTGATGCGACTCTAAGGGCGACAACACAAGTAAGAATTGTTTAAATAAAGCGGCATTTGTTAAAGGGAGAACCTGAGCTATACTTGATGTTTTTAATCTGAGCTATGGGTACAGATAGCTCCTTATAGAAGAAGTGGAAGACACATTGTTGGTTAATATTCTTTATGTTATTATCCCGAATGGATTTGATTTAATGCTTGCTTAATGTTAGATGGGAGGAAGGTGGAAGAGGGAGGAAGGTGGAAGATATAGGATATATTTCACTTTCAGCTGTGTATGCAGTGCTGGTACCTTTTATAGTAAGCTTGTGCATATAGTGCCCCTCTTGATAGCTATACATAGTTGTTTTAAATATGATCTTGTCACTCATTAGAAACAAGCTGCTTGCTCTGAAAAACGTCTGCACGTTTGCTCTGAAAAACGTCATGCAAGCTACATGACTCCTCCCCAAATTCCTGCAGCATCAGCAGAATCTGTGTGTGGAACGCACTGTAATGTTATGCTCTAGGTGTATTCCTGTGGCTGTTGAATAAAATTCTTTTTGACAGAGGAAAGTCACGGCCAAACAGCTTAAGATGAGGGAACAGACCACTGAAACAGCAAAGGCTGTTTTGGGAGGAAGCTTTGCTGAGTTTTAGGAATTCCCGGGCTATACCTTGCAGACCTGTTTTTATTAAAATACTGTATGGAAGCATTCAACTGGAGTAAAGCAGTTTATTTTGAAGAAATTTCCTGGCTGTTAGACATGACTAATTAATACAGAAGTTTCTTTATAGCTGTTTTGAATGAGTGGAGAGGCCAGTGAATGTTAAAGAAATGGGCGTTCTCTTTACTGGCAGTCTGTCAGGTCATGCCCTTATTTAAATTTTTCACTGATCACTGAAGCAGTTGTTCTCCACAGCTCAAGATTGCAGAGGGAGAACCCTTCCTAGGCATCCCTCTTCTGTTTATTTAGTAATACCAAAGGCAAATCACCCCAACAAATTGAAAGCTCTAATTATAAGATCTTACCAGAATAATGTGCCATTTATCTGAGCTCATACTGCCAGTGGAAAGTGAATAGGGTTTTTTTTCTGATTTTCATAAGACTGAAAAATACAGGACACTAACTGCTTCCATACTGCATGGCAATCTTCTGGGTGCCTGATAAGCCTGAACCTTGCCAAGAGGCAGCTATTGCTTTGTAATCTGCAATTTCCTGTTTCTGGTTAGTTATCTGATATGCGAGTTATTTTTTTCCAGAGTAGAATGTAAGCTTTTCACACTAGGTAGGTTTTGATAATTGTTTTGAGAGGTTATGACTTTGTGCAAAATGTGTTAGCAAAAGGAATTTTGTCATTCCCCTCCCCCCAAGTTATTAATATCGAGAGGTGTTCTTGTATCCTACACAACAATCCTGTATTCTGGACTCATATTCAAATGGACTCTGACATGGAAATAAAAACATGAGTGGTGAATGATCCCCATCCTATTAAAAAACAGGGCTGCTTCCGTAACCTTAGAAAAATTCTTTATTCTTTTCCTTACTTTCCCCATCTGCATAAGTGGAAAATACTTCCCTGCAGGCTAGTTGCGCGAAACTTGACTCACCAAGTGAAAAGTGCTTTCTTTTCTCAAATTACTTCAAAATGAAAGTAGAAATTATTTTATTATGTCTATTTATTAAAATGTTTGGCTCCAGAATTTAAAGAATTATTTTATATCTTCTTAATCATTGTTTGGCAGAATTGAACGTGTCTGTTAAAATGCTAATTTGGCTCCAGCTAAATAAAATTCATTGATGGCATTTGTTACCTTCAGGTTAAACTGATTGCCAGAAGGTGTCCCGGTAAAGCAGATATTACAGTTCAGTCCCAGTTTAGGAGAGCTTTAAGCATGAACTTAAGTCTTTAGCAAATCGTTTCCATTGATGTTTAATCAGAGAGCTGATTCACTGTGACACGTAATTTTAAATAGTAGAAGTCTTCCAAAAGAACATAATGAGCTGATCTCATTCCCTTTGAAGTCTGTGCAAGTTTTATGTTTTGATGGTGCAGGATCAGAACTTTCCATGTAAATTCTAGTAGTGATGTCTAGTAGTGTGTAGTAGTGATGACACTGCTTTCATCGTTATTTTCCTTAGAAGTCAACTCTATTAATCTCTGTAAGACTTGTGTGGTATTACGTACTCTCTATTACACAGACCCTGCTATTTTTTAGAAGGAAGTTTTATCTTTCTAATTATTTTATATATATGTATGTATATACACACATATACATTTTTTGCAGGTATTATTGACAGCACACAGGTGGAACAGAGGCAGGTTGTAGCTGTGACTGGTGATGGAACCAACGATGGACCAGCACTTAAAAAAGCTGATGTTGGCTTTGCAATGGTATAATCTTGAGCATATTGATTGATATTTGTGTCGTCATAAATTTGCTGTAAGCGGTTTTTCATTAAGTGCTGAGAAAGGTGGTTAGTTATTACTTGTCAGTGAAGTAATATACTGGAGGGGGTGAGTTATGTTGCTTCAGAATCCTTTAATTTAGTATGTTAGATTCACTGGTACTGCTTGTTTTGATACTTTTTCAGTATTTTGTCTAAGGTAATTATTGGCTATATGCAGAATCCTGTGGCAATACAGAAAAATGAACTCTGTGTTCTTCACAACAGTGGAGTACTATTTTGCTTTGGTAAAATCCACCACTAAATGTAAAGATGTCTTTCCAATGTACTCTGACTCTGAAGGCATTAACATACTAGACTATATATTAAGATACGTAACTCTAATTTTTGTTAGCAATTCTGTTCATGTATATTAATAAAATATAATCAATGATAAAAATAACTCAGAAGTTCAGTAGACATTAAGCTGATAATTTAAAACACTCAAAACTATCGTCATGTGAATTCCACTGCGCTCTATCAATTCCCTTTTCTGCATCCTTATTCACTTTCAAAAATAGGCCAAATTAGCTAACTTCTTAGCAAGTATAGAATGTAGAATATACTCAGCAGTCACTGCTACTATGCTGGGGAGTCTCTGTAACTGTGGACTTTGAATGAGTATGCAGAGATTTGTATTCTAACTGTCTGTGTACTTTCTAGTAGGTAATTTTATTCATAATTAATTTTTCCAGGGTATTGCTGGTACAGATGTTGCAAAGGAAGCCTCAGATATCATCCTAACAGATGACAATTTCAGCAGCATTGTGAAGGCTGTAATGTGGGGACGTAATGTCTATGATAGTATCTCCAAGTTCCTGCAGTTCCAGCTCACTGTTAACATTGTGGCTGTGATTGTGGCTTTCACTGGAGCATGCATTACGCAGGTAAGGTTAACTTCAGGGGTTGCTTAAAGTACGGGGCCAAATCCTACCACGCTACATTTTCTTTTAAGTAATGGTGGCTTACATTTAATTCTTCCTTTGTACAACAGAAAGCATGCTTTCTGAAATTCTTCCAAACATTAAGAGTGTATTTAAGATCAAGCTGCTAAATGTTAAATAGCTGTTGACATAAGAAAGTGTATAATCCATCTTCTCCTGCAAGTACGTTGCTTTCAGGAGCTGCTAATTTTTGTGCTGCCTCCATACAGCTCCCTGGTTTTGGTTACGTATTATTGTCATGACTGAGCTTGTGATGATAGGACAGAAAATGTCAAGGATTGGGAGACGGAAGAGGTTATGGGACTTTGCTTTTCCTCTCAGAATATTTCACTATTAAATATATATTTCTTGATGGATTACAGGATGGGATTATTATTTTCAAGAGAGCAGTACTGACACACAGAAGTAAGCCCAGCAGGGGAGCTTTTTGACTGATAAAATTATTTTGTTGCTTTCAGGCAATTCCTTTTAATTTCAGATGCAAGTGACAAACCAGTTAAATGACACGTACAGTTGGACTTTGATCTCTTTTTCTCCCTCTACATTAATCCATCACTGCAATCCTGGTGTACATGCAACATGTTTAGGTCTTTTACAAAAAGCATATGTGAAAGCAAACCACATTTTTTTCCCTTCAAATTACTACTTTGTGATTAATAAAATTAGGTTTTCTTTTCCCTAGAAAGAAAACAGGATGTATTTAGTACAGTATGAGGTTTTTGTCCTTCATTAGAAAATAGCAAAACATGCAGTTTTTAGTGTTGTCACTCTCTAAAATAATGTATATTTCAGATGCTGCAGACAGGTGCTGTTGTTGATTGCATCTCATTGATTGAGACACACCATGGGAAAGCTGATGCTTCCCTGTCTTGTGCATCATACAGATGCACATACCTGATTTAACAGGTAAATTTCATCTCAGGCACACCTGAGCAAAACAATGAATAAGTCATTAGCTCTGCTCCAGGGTAAACTTACATTGTAATCCTGGAATTGATACTTGAAACCAGAAACCCAGGTACCTTTACAAAACCATGAGGTCAAACTTCTCCTAAGCCTTGACTGATATTTAGAGGCCTTTTTTTTGTGCTGTGTATGAGGAGTCTGCAAGCTCCCAGCTTCTGCTAGCACCATGCAGCAGCTGGGTAGATACAACTGTCATCATTTAGCTCCTCTGAGCTAAGTGAGCATAAGGCTAGTGCTAGGATTCTTCGAGAAGTCAGAAATGGCTGGTTTTGAAGCAAGTAGAAGTGATCTTAAATAAAATAACGATTTTATTCTGTACAAAGGAAACACTGAAACCTAAATTCACTTGTTTTCTGAGAAGTAAAAATTGCGAGCTGCTAAGTGCTAGGTCCCTACCACACTGCCCCCGGGTCTCGATGATGCCTTGTTGTCACAATTGAGCCTGTGCTGTGGGACAAAATTATTGATGTTGAGGCAGAAGTTGGATAACTTTTCCTTTTCCCCTGGGAAATATTTTCAAGCATATTGAGAAAATGTTTAGCTGTAAAGTTATTGTTGCTGGTAACAGAAGGTATATGAATAAGGACTAAGAGTCCGGAAGGTCAGTCCTCCTGGATTTTTATCAGTGGTACAAAACCGTATCGAAAAAAAGTGCTAACAGCAATGTAGTAAGAATACCATAATTGGAACTGAGGCGAGTGCTTCCTTTGAATGTCTATAAAACAGGGTCTTAAATCACTGCCTACTAACATTTATTTAAGGTGATTTTTCTTTTGCTTAGCGTCCAGCATTTTTTTAATTGCTTTGTGAAAACATGAAGGGAAATATATTCTATTTGTTAACTAAGGAATTTCTATTTTTTTCTTGAAGAGGTTAAACATTACTGAATCAGTGCAAAGCCTATTTAAAATCAAGTCTAAGTGCCTGTGTAGTGGGCAAGCATATTCCCCTTTCTAATTCCGGAGCTTTCTTCATCCTTTGAATCATTCCATTGGCTTCTAGAAGGATTTGGATCAGGCCCAGTGCATTTGTATTGCCCCGATGGTCTGTAAGACCACCACTGAGCCTGCAAGTCTATTGTCCCTGTTTACAGGTTTTAATGTGCACCTAGAATTCTAGGTGTATATTAGTATATATAATAGTGTATCTATATACATAGTATATGTATAGTAGTATTTCTGTCCAAATAGATTCTTATGCAATTCCTTAATTTGGCAGTAAAAATGCAAATCCAAAGGAAGAGGTCTGAAAGGAGCTAAAATTGAAGTTGTAGCAAAAAGGCAGCAGTTATTTCCATTGTAGTTCTGTTTACACTCAACGGCCTGACTGCTGATAATCTCAAGTAGCTCTCAGTTCTGTCTCATTCAAGAAGGATCTTGCCTTACGAATGAACATTATTATGTTAGGCTTTGACTCAAAGACTCTAGCCAGTGAAAGGGCATTATGTTTGTTTGGCTCATAAGCTTTACTAAAAATTACACTTGAGAACATACTGTACCCTCTGGTTGTTATGAAAATAGCTCTAGCACAAAAAGCATGAATATACCAAAAAATCTTGCAGATAACAGGTTAGGTGCACACACATAGATCTAAGTCTGCAAAACTGTACACAGATCTTAAAGTACTATTTTGACTGAAACATTTAAGTTCTTAACAAACAAATGAAGCTAAAATCTGTAGTTTCCAAAAGGCAACACAGCTTTCTGTGACCTTCAAAATGAATATAAGGAAGGTCCACACTGGACTGAATTTTACTTTGCTTTTCGGTAGTCAGTTTGGTTTTCTTTGACACACAGAATATAATTTTAGTCCACAATTAATATTCAGGTTAATGACTATTACACAGGCTGTCCTTTTGGTGATATTTCATCAAATCTAGAATGAGAAAAATTCTATGTAGGTAGTAACATTTTTTTCATGCTTCTTAATGTCACCTCTCAAAAAATCTGTTCTGCAATTCAGAACCAGCGTACTGGGATGCTTTGGGTATGAAGCTTCTTTTACGCTTACCTACTCTTCTTGGTCTTTTTACTGTTTGTGCTTAAAGGAAGTACAAAGATAATAAAATCTTTGTTTTGACTAATTTTTTTTAAGAATTTGCTTGTGCTTTGCAACTAAATAGACTTAATTTTATTCAGTCTTGATCCTGCAATTGCATCAGTGTACGTGTAAATATGTGTGTGTGGTCATATCACTGCAGGACTCCTAGTGAAACCAGAGCAACTCTATATTAATGAAAGGGTCCAACTGTGTGAGTACTATTATGAGTGAAATTAGACCTCCAAGGAGCACCCAGAGAACGCCTTGCCAAGTAGGAGCTGATTTGCTTGGTCCAGAGCACCTTAGGAGTGCCATGGAGAGGCTTAAGAAAAATACGAGGTAGAACCTGTGACCATTAGTGGTCATTTTAAGAATCTGCCGCTTTTTTTTCTCAAATACATAAATAAAATCAGTGTCCTTGCCAATTCCCCTTCAGGGAACTACTGTTTAGCTTAATTCTGTTAATTTTAAGCAAATATTATTTCATTATTTATCTACCCAATGCCTGCCTCAGCAAGATGCTGCTATTAGAGAGAATACCTACCGTATCTACTATTTCTATTTTGTCCTGGTTTGCTCTTTCAATAGATGTTTAACTACATGTACAAAATGTATGTGACCCTACATGCTACTCCGGTGTTATATAAGGATTATAAAGGAGTAGCAGTGGGCTATTAAAGAAGTTATTATGCAGACTAAACGGGACCAATGCAAATGATCATTTGCTGTTCTTTGTCATGGGTCCCAGCACAAAGTCGTGTTAAGGTGACAGAAATCATATTCTAAGCAGCGTAGGAATTACAGATGCAGTGTCACCTGTTGGCAAGCTTAGCGCGGCTGCTGCCAAAACTAAGCTGCCCCTCACAGGGATCTAACTTACATTGGGCCCTGTTTCGGTTTACAGCAGCTCAATGTATAAGCCAAGAGTTCTGAATTTTCAACTAATAATGAACTTCTGTGTTGTGATTCTGTAATTATGTAAAGCAGTCCGAGATCTAGGTCATACAAGAAAACCAAGCTTAAAGAAGTCTCCGATTAAAAGCTGAATCAGGATCACTCAATCTATGGCTGCAGAGGTGCTCTTAATTTTGTGTCCAGTGTGTACATAGCACCCACCAATGAGATCACAACTATTATTTCTGCTAGTCCCATGTCAGTGCAGTTTGTGTGGCACAATGCAGCTGAGCTGTATGAATTCACTTTATCTTTCAATGAATCCAGTTCATTTACCTCTTGCTTCTTTCTCTCTGTGTTGCCTGATGCATACTTTTAAAATGATCTGTGTGGTTATCTTGACCAGTTTGCATATAATTGTCCTTTCTGTTTAGCAGCCATTACCTCAGGTTAAACCAATAATTTCTTTTTCCAGTGGATTTATGAGACATAAACTCTTATATTCTGAGTTCATTCTCTGAATAACATTTTTGCAGAGCCCTTGATTGACTCAGTGAGGGTTATTCTTTGGAGCTCTGCCTACAATTATTGTGAATTTTGTACTTCAAATGAGTCATTGCTCCGCATCTCTAGGTATCATATAGAGTTCTATATGTGCCTTACAAAGCCGGAAGGTTCATCCTGTTTCCTGTCCCCAACATATACACAGTACCAAGAAAATATTAGGTCATTATGTTTGGAGCTGTTAAAAATAATCTGGGTATGTACAAAATAAAGATTTTAAAATGCAGTTCAGTCAAACGGAAACAGTTTTTTACTGGAACTACAAAGCTAGCAGGTTTGTCTCCATGTCAGATTTTGTCTGTGTCTCCAACTGTTGAGGCAATGTAACCATTCAAAAAGGTTGCATTAAAGAAAGAGAAGACAAAGACTGTGTTTTAACATTTTACATTCAAATTATTGTTCTCGTACTTTGAGAAAGACTTAATGTTTTAGCAGACATTAGGAACTGAAAACAGTGACTCTACAGGACATTGTTTGGAAAATTAAATGTTAATTAAAAAGCACTGTAGCAATGAACTACCGCATGAATCACTTATTGTTTTTACAGATCTTGTTCAAAAAATGAGGATGATCTATACTTACATGTATAAGGCTGTAATTTACGTGGTTATAATGTTTTACTCCAGAACTGTATTTGGCAAATCCTAAAATAATAGCATTGGCAAATTTGAAAAAGCTATAATATAAAATCAAAGTTTGCACTGTTTAGCTTTGTTTTGGGAAGGCTTAGAGGCATGGAAATAGAATTGAGGACACCACTTCCATACAATTAGACAGTGTGATCTAGCAGCAGAAGCGAGGGCTGGCTTTTTTTTGCATTAATGTATATAAAGTTAACCTACCAGAAATGCTCATTTTTATGAATTCATGCATATGTGCTGTGACAAGTGGGAGTAAAGAGGTAAGGGTGAAAATACCTTTTTATTCCCTTACAGGTTGTCATCTAAATCAAAAGTAACAAGCTCTAAAATTTGTGACGCTCTGCGTGTCACAAAAGATTTGTAGTTTATTTCCAGCCTTTGGTGATTTGTACTTTTAAGTGTTTCCAAGATGAAGTGTAACATCACTTGATTAAAGGGACATTTTCCTTTTACCTCTAGGCCAATGCTAACCTATTCCAAGGTCAAGTGGAAGGGAATTTGACAAATAAGTGGTGATTTTGGGTGGTTTGCAGTTCGAACAGCTTTCATCCCAAAAGTTTTCAGAAAGTGAATTAAGAATTATTAGCTAGTCAGTTTGTGGCTAAAATGCAGTGAAAAGAAGACTGACTTTGCATCCCACTTGCATAAGTGACTCAAATCTGTAATGGAAGACTAAGCTCCTTAGCCGATGTGCATTTTCCTCAGTTTCCACCAACTAATCAGAAATCAGATAGAGTTGCAGTGGAAATTTCATTCCACTGCCTGCCCAGACTAATGTGTATTTAATGTTTTGGCTTCAGCTTAGAATGAGCTTTCACACTTGACTGAACAGTGTAGCACTGCCAATAATAGATAATTATTAGGGGCACCATAGCCACCCAAGGTGATTGGCAGTGTGAAATGGTGAGAACATGTTGTTGCCAAAACTGATGACTGCCAATTACAGTTGTGTGATTTAGAGACTGAAATAATCTGACTTTTCATCAGGCTCTGATAGACACCTGAATATTTGACTCTATTAATTAAGCATAACAGACAAATTCAGTTTTATTGGCATAAAAGTCAGTGCATGAAGCGTAAATTCAGCTATTGTAACATCTGAAAGTAGAGAATGTTTCTCAAGAAAACTTACTAACTAGACAGGTAAAAATACGACAAGAAAAATTCTTCAGTAGAAAACATGTTTTCCTTTTTCTCTATATACTATGTCCAAGTCTAGGGTCTCTGAGCCCTAGCAACAAACTGCTTTTAGTGCAAGTGCTCTCCTTGTTTGAGCCATTAGTATTAATAAAAATAAATGAGGTCTCAATTTGGAACAAAGTTTGTCCTGATTGCTTTTTGTTTTTTTAGCCATCTCTAAAGACAAAGACATTTCCCATTTCTGCAGCTGCATACCAAATGAGTGAGCTGAACTCTTCAGATAAGCCCAGTTAATGCAACCCATAACCAAGAGGTCAAGAATCTATTAATGCTAATCTTCCTCCCTTCCCTGATGTAGCCAACCTGTAAGACTTAGAAACAGTAGGTTGCTTTTCTCCATCCCTTTGAACAAGCCAAAAATGAATATAGAAAATATTCATGAATAAAGTGTATCAAAATTTGTGTAAAAGTAAGGGTGATAAAAATATGTTTTCAAGAGGAAATAATATTTTCTCTCAAGGGAGAGTTGGAATATAAACCAGATCCACAAGACACCAAACCACTTGCCCTTGTTCTCCATATGTCCTTGGGATACTGAATGGATATTGGCCCTCATCGTTTGATAATATTTTATTAAGAATGAACATTTAACCCTTTGAAGAAAAGGGCAGAGTCCATAAGGTGTTTTTATTGGCTTTGATTTGGCTTGTATGCTGTTCCCTAAATTTCTTTGCTTCACTACTGCAGCACCATGGTAAAGTAATGCATAAAAATAGCACTCTCATCTTCCAACCTTCACACTGTAGATTAACTCCCTTCCATTATCATACTGATACCTTACTACTTTTGAGATTCTATTTTCCTAATAAAACCCATCTATTTGAAACAGGAAGCAGACCTTACTAATGCTGCCCGTTTTGTATTCAGTCTGAAGGCATAGGATGTTGTTAGATACAAAAAAGGAACCTACTTCATTTTTTCCTGATACGGCTCTTTGAGGCAATTGCATCTATCTATCAATACAGCTGCCCCAATGGAGTACAAATCGAAACTTTGTAATAGTCATCTAGAGTTCTCCTGAGATCTGTATTAGTTTGCTTTATTTATTTACTCTGTTTTTTTTTTTTAAACATGATCTAAGGTCCTCTCCCATATGACCATAGACTCTTTCTAGAATTAAGTGAGGAAAGAGCTCCTTCTAGCGGTTGGCAATCTGCTTCAGAAAATGAATACTCCATCCTGACAAGTAGTAATGTTTGGGTTTTTTCTTTCCAGTTCCGTAGTTTCAAATATGCTATCCTGTTACCCAGTAAAATAATAAAAAAATTCTTACTTTTACACATTAGATATAGTTTAATGAGTTTCAGAATATTTTTTAAATTCAAATATCAGGCATTTTTTTCGTCACTACTGTTTTTAAAAGGTCTTATTTAAGTAAGATATATTAAAGTGTCTCAGTAACTGGTTCACAAATTTTTAATAATTTCAAGCTGTTTCTGAAAAAACAGATAGGTAGGTTATAGTAAAAGGAAACATCACTTTCTAAATTGTTTCAGTATAATTTTTCTTCCAGAAAGAAACTCGCACTTGTATTATCTAGTTACCTAAATTCAGCTGAAAATGTAAGCATGATGCATGAAGGTAACAGAAAGTATTGTAAAATGTTATTATAAAGTGTTAATGTTATGCATTATAAGAATTGTGTGATTGTAAATATTCCTGATTTAAATGACTGGATAGCAATAATTTATCTTTGCTCAGATCACAGTGCTTCCTGTGATTCTCGTCTTGCATAAGAAAGATAGGAAAGTTCATAGTAGGTCAGACCAAAGGTCCATGTATTGCAGTATCCTGTCTTCAGCACTGCTTGCGGTCACACAGGAGGAAATGAAATCACAGTAAATGACCTGACAGCAATTACTTTTCTAGGAAATATGTAACTTTCTAATTTGTCTCCACAGGACTCTCCTCTAAAAGCTGTACAGATGTTGTGGGTCAATCTAATTATGGACACCTTTGCCTCACTTGCTTTGGCCACCGAACCTCCAACAGAGGCTCTATTGCTAAGAAAGCCATATGGCAGGAACAAACCTCTTATATCCCGTACCATGATGAAGAACATTCTGGGCCACGCTGTTTATCAGCTTACTCTCATATTTACACTTCTTTTTGTCGGTAAGAAAGTTTGTTAGGCTTGTAGCCTAGTTTAGAAGCATCTAGGTCTCGTAGCCTGACATGCCAAAATGCTTTCAATGTAATCACTTAATGCACATATATAAAGTCTGTCATAGTTAAACAACTAGCAGGACCGAGCTGTTTCATGAGATCAGAAACAGTAGGGGAAACAGAACAGATGCAATAGAAGGATTTAGTCGCCTTTCATATGTTGTTTACATTGGGAATGGCTTCAGTGAGCTTTTTTGCCTCCTAAAAAAAGGTAGGTTTGGGCTTTGGCAAAAGTTTTTGTTAAAACATAGCGTAGAAGGTTACTTTTTAATCAGATTATTTAGCCTGCTTCTTCTATACTGAAATTTCATTTTGAGACTTGTGATCTTTAGTAGGCATGTAACAACAAAAAACCACAACAAAAATCAAGATCTATTTTACCAATATCTGGAGAAGCTCTAATCGGGAGCAAAATGTTTGCCATAGTCAAGAAATAATGCTGATCTTAAGCAGTATAGATAAGCAAGTAATCAGTATTAAGTGATACAAGTAACACTCTGTTTTGACATTTAATATCTAGAATGGATATTAAAAGTGGGAATAAAATCTAATTTATTAGATTACTGGACTCTTCTTCAGGCCTTGCTAGCAATGGATGCTTTTTATAGGTTGTAATTTGGAGAGGGGAGGGAAGGAGGAGGAATGTTTCTTGCTGCAGGGAATAGTAGGGGCTAATAATAGATTCTGTTGCTCCACAATAATAAGTGAACTTGCTCAAAGGACTGATAATTTTTATCAGTTGGGTATTGTGTTCTTGTTGCTATGTCATTGCTGTTAAATTACATGTGTTGTCTTTCAGATTTTTTTCTTTATATACAGACTTCCATATAAGCTGTAAATGTCAATTTATGATTCTTAGGAGTTTTTTGAGCTCCATTGTGAAAGTCTCGCTCTACCTTTACCAACAACTGGCAGCTTATTTGGAATGCTCAAAGGAGGTGACGATCTGTTTACAGTGCAGCTATTTAAACCAAAATAATTGCCAGGTTTTGAGGAGAAACGGTCTGTAATATTGTTAGGCTTACAGTATATATTGAGAATGTCTAGCAAGTCTAGGAAATTGTATTTTCAGATTCTCTAAGACAGTTGGTCTTGGTAATTCATATGATACAAATCTTGGAACGAGAACTGTTAACTTTATGGGGAGTTTTAATGGCTTTTTGATGAGTTTTATGGTTTAGAATACTTTATTCTGAGCCCTGATGAAAAGAAAACCAGGCTTTTTCACCCTACTCTAATTACTTCTGTGTGTCTCTGGAAAACCCATGCATACTTCGAAGGATGCAGCCCAACCAATTTTCTGATAAGCCTAGAAAATACAGTCTTTTCCTTTCTAAACTCCACAAGGCTCAGCTTTGCAGTGAGATGATGTTCTAAACTCAGTGTTTCAAGAAATAAATTCCAAATTAATGAGAATTATTTATATTTTGATCAACTAATACTTCATTTTTTGTAGTAGGTTTCTGTAGAGACCAGTACATGAAGTTTTCCTATTTTTTCTATGATGTGGCAATAAATACGTTGTGTTTGAACATACAGTAATGCCTTTGAGACATCAGGCACATCAGAAATCCAGAAGTCACTGTCTAGTTCTCTCAAACTGTAGTATGAAAAATACCTTAACCTCAGCAACTAGGTGTAAAAAACTTAAAGTTGATGTACTATAACGCCTTTTGGAACATGTTCGGAAATAAAAACTACTTATGGGTTTAACCACTGCCGTTCCACAATAGCAGCATGTTCTGCTTTGCCAATGAAGTGATGCAATGCAATAATAGAGACTTAAGGACAGGTACTCTCACTAAGGAAAGTATTCATATATTTGTGTTTGTGTGTGTATTGAATGAAAGCAAGTAGATGTAATGTGTGTGTATAGATATGTGTGTGTATCTATAAAAGATAAAATGATGATATCTGTTTGCTTTCATTAATTTTTCCCTTTATTGTTTATATGTAGTAAGGGGAATGTTTTCCAATACTTAGTTATCTTTCTGGAGATGTATAATCTTCTTAAAAATATTTGCTCTCTCACAGTCTAAGTTTTGTGGCCTCATATTGTGTTACTGATATATTTGTGATGTCGTAGTCTACTTTATGACAAAAGACTGTAAGCCAAATTCTTTCTTTGGAAACACGCTCATTATTCCCAGTGACTTGAACACGAATGACTCAAATATCCCAAGGCAAAAAAACTCTCACTGTTAACTTAGCTGGTGGAATTAACGACCTCAGGAGAAAACCTGAGGAAACCTTTCTTCTTTCTTCAGAAATTCTGAATATAATGCTAGTGGGATAGCAGAATAATGTTCAAGTTTTAATTCACTTTTATTAACAAAACACTGGTTATGAAAATGAGTAGTATTGTGATAATCTTCTTTACTCTTATTTCATTCATTATTTACACTTTCATGTGAATGCCCCATCCTTTCTTTAAGACAATACCTCTTTCAATAAGTGTATGTTACCTGTAAACTTTGCGTATAAGAAAGTGGATGAAAAATTGGTCATGAGCTGGCAATATGCACTTGCAGTCCAGAAAGCCAACAGTATCGTGGGCTGAATCAAAAGAAGCGTGGCCAGCAGGTCGAGGGAGGTGATTCTCCCCCTCTGCTCCACTCTTGTGAAACCCCACCTGGAGTACTGCGTTCAGCTCTGGAGTCCCCAGTAATGTACAAGAAGGACATGAACCTGTTAGAGCAGGTCCAGAGGAGGAGCCACAAAACTGGTCAGAGAGCTGGAACAGCTCTCCTGTGAAGAAAGGCTGAGAGCTGGGGTTGTTCAGCCTGGAGAAGTCAAGTCTCTGGGGAGACCTTATTGCAGCCTTTCAATACGTAAAGGGGGCTCATAAGAAAGGCAGAGAGAGGCTTTTTACCAAGGCCTGTAATGACAGGACAAGGGGCTGCAGTTTTAAACTGAGAGAGGGTAGGTTTGATTGGGCATAAGGAAGAAATTTTTTTCCAGTGAGAGTGGTGAGACAGGTTGCCCAGAGAAACTGTGGATGCCCCATCATTGGAACTGCTCAAGGACAGGTTGGATGGGGCTTTGAGCAGCATGATCTACTGAAAGATGTCCTTGCCCATGGCAGGGGGATTGGACTAGATGATCTTTAAAGGTCCCTTCCAACACAAAGCATTCTATGATTCTGTAAGAAGAGAGTCCCTCAGGTGCAGGTATCTTTTCAAAACTTACCTCATTTTTAGAGTTACTCATCATGGGTTGTATCTTGCTTTTTTATTGGTTAGATCTAAAAGTGATAGTCAAATTATCAAAATAAAGAGCAATGCCTGATGGTGTGCTTTCAAAGCAGACTAGCAGAATGATTAAAACCAAATCTGTTTAAAACCAGGAATGTCTGTGTTTTTTATCATTAATATCCTTGAATGCTTGTCAAGAGTTATGCCATACTGGATTAGCAAATGGGTGAAAACTGCTGAAGGGTGATTGCTTCTAATTATTGCAAAAAATCGCAAACATACTGTCAATGGTCTCGAGTGCTCGGTACATCAGAAAGAATTGACTTCTTAGAATAATTACTACTTGGTTAGAGGAAAAGTACTGCTAAAAACTATTTGCGTAGGTATACTGAGTTATTAGATAAAAGTCATCATTTGAGAAGCTTCTTGCTCAGGAAGTTTAGATGTCTTTTCCTCACTGGTATTATAAATTCTGCTTATATTGTAGTACGTGCAGAAAGAAAGCTGGTAAAGCAGAGCACAGGAGGCAACTAGCTAAAGCAAACAAGGGAAATATTGATTATTCTAGTGGAAATCTTTATTTTTGTCTTATACCTAGGTGAGAAAATGTTTAAGATTGACAGTGGGAGGAATGCACCACTTCACTCTCCTCCTTCAGAGCATTACACCATTATCTTCAACACCTTTGTCATGATGCAGCTTTTCAATGAAATCAACGCACGGAAAATCCATGGCGAAAGAAACGTCTTTGATGGCATCTTCAGAAATCCTATTTTTTGCACTATTGTACTGGGTACATTTGCTATTCAGGTAATGATTTGGGCAAGAATTAGTAACTATTCGTCAGAAATTTGCGTTAAGTTTTTTTTCTGTGTGTTTTTTTTAAAATCTAAATGCTGTAGGAGGCGCACTTAATAGTAAACCACCTGGTTTCACATATTTTCTTAATCAATACAAGTGTCAGTAATGGAAAATGTTACATAGCCATACTAATACAGCATAAATTTTGATCATTATGACTAGGTCAAATCTTAAATTAATCTGAAGATGTACAATAATAACAGCCATCATGATTTCTTGATATTGTAACTGTTTTTTGTAGAAGCAATTATTAAGTAGTATACCAAACAGTAGCAACAAAGCATTTTACATTAATTTCCTACTCCATGAATAGACAAATTGGCCTTCAAATAGCTAATGCTGATCTGTTCTTCTGAGGTTAAATGACACTGCCAAATGCTACTTGATGTTCTCAGTAATACTACTTCTTGGTAGTAATTCTTCACGTCCATCTTGTGAGTTTGCTGTCCCAGTCATATGTGAACATAATTACAGAAATACACGCTTTTCCCAAACAGTTGTAATTTTTCTTCCATAAGAACTCTAATTCCTCCTTCTGCTCTTGGATCCATCCGTTTGCTGGCATCTATCCTGTACTTGATACCATCTGACATTACCTTTTAGAAGTCTACTGCAGCCCTCGCAATTGTTTAGAGTTGAGCTATTTCTATCTTGACATTATTGCTCAATTCTGCAGTGGCATCCTGGAAGCTATCAGTAATGGGACCTTTCTCATGGAAGGAGTAAGGAGGAGGATACAGCTATCTGAATCTGGGCTATAGTGGTTTGAAACAGGAAAGGGGAACCACTCAGTAAACTAAGTATGGGAGAAAGGATGCCAGTGATTGGTAGTAGAACTTGATGGTGATGATCTTTCACAGCTAGTTCAAAAACATGGGTTTACTACCATGAACTAAAATGCCTTTAGGAGAGGCCTGACAAACTCACAGTCATCTCTGATTTGTTTTTTTAATCATGGATAATGTTTGAGGATGTTTTCTTAGATCTAGGCATTACTGTACTCAGTTGTCTGGCTGCAGGAAAAGTGTCATCTAGCTGCTAGCCACATTTCTGAATCGGCTGCTGATTTTACTCACTCTTCCCTGCTTTCCTAGTAGCTGAACTACTTAAGTGCACAGTTCAAAACACTAGGTTTGCACTCTTGACAGTGAATCAAAAAGGACATTGTAGCATAAGAGTACTTAGGCTGTGACTCTTACTTGCTTTTAAGTCTCTTTTTAAAATCAGATAATTTTTCTTGGGACAACAGAAGGTTAATCTTACTATTAATTTTCCATGTTGTTTATTATGTTGTGGAAATATAGCTTTGCATCATGTTGCTTGCTGAAGCAATGTCAGAAGAGTATTTATTATTTTGTCTGTGTGTTTTAATAGCTGGATGTGTGAGCCAGGCATTTTATTCTAAAGAGAAAATGATTGTCTCCAGGAGCTTGGATTATGTAGATGGATATGAGAGATTACAGAAGCGTTTTTATTTCATATTTAAAACTTTATTAGTTCCATATGTATTTACTACACTTTCTGTGAAGTACAGACTAATTGGCTGTGATATTTCATCTTTGAGTGCAATAGTTCCATTAACTATTAGTTAGTTTAGTTTAGTCCTTTTTAGAAAAAAGTCAGCAGCAGTGGCCAAATTTTCAAAGTAAAAAATATGGAGAGTGCTAAAATGCATCCTTGATAAGGATCAGAAAGTGCTTCTGTGAGAGCTACAACAGCTTGAGAAATAAAAGGGTAGTTACCACTCCTGTCCTCAGACAAGCAATAGCTTTATTTTATTAATTTCTTTCTCTGCTTTCAGAATAAATAAATAGTTTTCACAGTGAAGGAAGATGGATTAAAATATGCCATACCTACCGTACAGCATTTAGAAATTCCTCAGTGTGGAGTTGCAATTTCTTTCTTATAGTTCTAGCATCATATTCATAATTTTTGTTTCATCTCCTCCTTTTTCCTTACTCTCTCCAGTCATTTTCCCACTTCCTCTCCACTGCCTTCCATTCTGTCCCCTTCCTTCCTCCTGTGTATTTGCACTTTGTGTGGAATGAGTTTGTGTTCACAGTTTGTGTTTATTCACTCACACAGGAAAGCAACCGCTTTATGTATTAGTGTTATTTTGTATCTTAGACTGGACAAATTACTTGGAACTTCTGTTTTGCAGCCATTGACAGATTAAATCTCTGGTTTGTGATTTCAGGTCCCTGCTTTTGCAGCAGCACTACTAACAAAAAATACCAATAATATCTGATTTTCAGTTAGCAAAACCTTCTCAATCTAACCAGGCTTAGAAACTTGCTCAGATTCTCTGCGTGTTGGTTGTCCTGCTGCAAGGTGTGTGGTTTTCCCGCACTCTTTCTCCAACAGGACTAGATTTTGGTATACTGTCAGTCTACCCATGATAACATGTCTTTAAGTGTACAATAAAATGTTAATTAGAGGGGAAAAAAAATCTCATGCAATGGACATTCCAAAATAAACTACATCAGGGTCAACATATCCCCAGCTGAGAATACTCAGAAGCTGGGAGAATACATGGGGACAGTGCTGTTTTCTTTCTTCTTGGGCATTCATATGTGACTGTTGTTAGATATGAGGCTAAGGAAGCCTTAGTCTGAACTGGTATGGCTTTTTCTGACCTTTAATTCAGGGTGCATAAGTTTGTGTGGTTTGATTTTTAGTGACCGAGATTCTGCAGCTTTTGCTGGGATGTGTCCCAAAAATGTACTTCTGGTAGCTTGACTTAGTGCCACCTAAGAGTGTCAAATGATGTATTTGGAATATAACACCGTATTTTGATTTTGAGTGCTCTTTAGATCCAGTCCACTAAACAATAGATTGTTAATAATACATTTGACTATTCTACTGGTAAAATATGTTGGAATCAAACCAGCACAGCTGTAATATGTAGACAAACAAAGTAAAATATGACTGGAAGTTGTTGGGGTTTTTTTTGTGGGGTTTGGGTTTTTTTTGGGGGGAGCGTCTTGTTTTGTTTTTTCCCCAGAAAATATTTACCCCTTTTCTGCTCTGCTTTTCTTTGTAGATAGTAATAGTCCAGTTTGGAGGAAAACCGTTTAGCTGTTCTCCCCTGCAGCTTGACCAGTGGATGTGGTGTGTATTTATTGGATTAGGAGAACTTGTATGGGGTCAGGTAAGCATTCAGGAATATGCAGATTTCTTTACTTTGTTTTTATAAACCAATCAAAAATTTGATATTGCTCATAATCCTACTATACTGTTGTCTCCTTGATCTCTCACAATGTCATATTGAGCACACATTGAAATACAGGGTGCTCTCTAAGTACCTCAAGAATAGATATAGTAGTAAGGATAATTTATCCCACTGTTCCTTTTGATTTTGGTTAATTTTCATAT